CCCAGTAGGGGGTGTGCAGGAGGCAGCTGATCGATGTTCCTCTCTCATCGATGTTTCCAACTCTCTATCCCTCTCCCTTCCTCTCTGTAAAAAAATCAATAAAATACATTGGAAAAAATAATCCAATCCATCACCACCAATGAGGAACACATTTATAAATTTCTAAATCCATAGTAAAAGAGATATAACTCTTCAAATTTCTATTTTTCTTCATTTTTAGCTGACTAAACTATTAAAAGGATTAGCAAACAACTAATCAAAAAGCATTTAAACTGAAAGCCTCAATCAAAACATGAAAACAGGGACACCAATCCAATGTCTTAACACATCTACTCCTGCATCTACTGAATACCGTTTCTTATTAAGAAGCCAGAAGTATTTCAAGAATCTGATTGCCCTTGCATATGAGAAACATTTATCTCTGGGTAAATTGTAGACTATTACTATTGTGACTTCATGGGATAAAATGAAAAGCAAACACAATTTGTCAAAATACTCAAATGGGGCTAGTGTTCATCACAAATTCCATTTTCCCATTAAAATAACTTGAGGAATAAAATAAAAACTTAAAGCTAAATCTTTTGTATAAGATGTCAATGAAGTTGCTACCTCATCTGACTTATGAAAATGTATTTCATATTCCATAAATTTTAACATAACAAGTACTAAGTCTTCAATCTTAGCAAGGTTAAACAGTGCAAGGGCAGATAAATTAGCATAATTCCCCAAAAGGTGAGAGATAAGAGTCATATAAACAATATGACATTAATCAAATACAATTTAAAAATACAAACCAGGTTTTAATGTTAATATTTAAGGAAGCCAATATGAATTCTATTACAATAGGAACAGCCATAAAAAGTGTAACTGTGTGGTAATAGATGTTAACTAGACTTATTGTGTTTATTATATATAAATATCAAATTATTATATTGTATACCTAAAACTAATATATGTCAATTATATGTTAATTATAAAATCAATAAATGAGAGAATACAATAAACAAAAATTCAGTAAGATATGTGATTGAGAATATATAGACAAAATATGATGTAGCCAGATAGAAATGGATTCAAATCAAGCTATGTAAACTTGGGGAACTTATGCAAACTTGCTGAGTTCCAGTTTGAACACTTGTTAAGGGGGAAATAATAAAGCAACCATAATATTGGCATAAAATTGCATGATATGTAGATGAAACAACTAGCACAATGTACAAGTGGATAGTTATTGAATGAAAATATAGTCTCAACTTAGCAAATAGAAAGTAAATATAATCCAGTCCCAAAAACCTGTAAAAAAGTAGAACAGAGGTAAGAGTGGATAGAACACAAGTAATAAGGTTTGGTTTTGGCCTCAGTCATCAGTCTAATATTTCTAATTGTGTTGCCCATGGTTGTTGTAGGCAGAATGTCTACTTCATGGTCATTTATGAATTCCCTGCTCTGGCAAGTAATCAATGATAATACAGTCAAGTAGGTTAATATCATCTCTATTAAACATAACTATGTCACTAATATGAACGAGCATGGCATTCTATGTATAC